TGAAGAACACTGGTGCTTCTGGGGAACGCGCAAGAGAGGGTATATCTATCAACGCTGGTCTAGCTGCCCTGGGCAAAGTCATCTCTCAGCTTTCTTCTCGTCAATCGGGCGCTCATGTCTCCTACCGCGATTCGAAGCTCACCCGGCTACTCCAAGATTCTCTCGGCGGCAATGCTTATACGTATATGATCGCTTGTGTTACGCCTGCGGAATTCCACCTCAGTGAAACTCTGAATACTGTCCAATACGCACAGAGGGCGAGGGCTATCCAGAGCAAGCCGCAGATCCAGCAGATTGCCGACGAAAGCGACAAGCATGCAGTGATTGAGAGGCTCAAGGCGGAAGTTGCTTTCCTGAGACAGCAGATCCGTATCGCCGAGGACAATGACCGACGAGCTGCTGCACCGCAGGAGAGGGCTGAGCGTCAGAATGAGAGGGAGAAGGAGCTTCAGAACCAACTACTTGACGTCCAAGAGAGTTATAACGCGTTGAGCCAACGACATGCCAAACTCATTTCCGAACTCGCTCGCGATTCGGAGCACTCCACCAATGGAGAGGCAGATGACGTTGCCTCGGCTGTTGGCAGGAGCTCTGTCGAGCGACTGAAGCGGTCTCACTCTTTTGCTCAATCCGTCGAACAGGTCGTTCTCGAGTACGAGAAAACGATCCAAAGCCTTGAATCCTCCTTATCCAACACGCGATCCTCTTTGGCTGTGACTGAGAGCACTCTTCTGGAACGCGAGACCAAGTGCGCCTATGTCGAAACTGTCAATGCCCAACTGCAAGCACGCATCCAGAAACTTATCGACCGCGAGGCCAGCACCGAGTCCTATATGCACGAGTTGGAGTCTCGGCTCGATGGCCAGTCTTCGGGCGAGGAGAAATACACAGCTATCATTTCGGAGCTCCGCAAGGAACTCAGCCGTGCGCGCGAAAGCGAAGCGGGATGCGAAGATTACATTTCAACACTGGAGGAGCGCCTGGCGGAAGCCGATCAAGACATGGAGCTTATGCAGCGAGAGGTTGAACGCTTGGAACATGTGATCGAGCGTCAGCGGAGTCTCGGCAAACTCGATAGTCTTCTCTATGAGTTGGACCACGTCCATCAGAACGGCGCAAATCACGAGGAAATTGAGGAAGAAATGGAGTCTCCTGCTGCTGTGAGGAGCGCCCGCAATTCCCGTCAGAGGGCTACCACTCTCGAAGTTTTGACCGAAGCAGCCGAAACGGCGATTCCTGAATCAGACGAGGATCTCGCAGAAACCGTTCCGGACGTTGAAGAAGTCGAAGCTGCGACAGCTGCCGACGTTGATGGCTCCGATTTGGAGGTTTTGGAAAGGGTAACAGGCCGTTTAGAGTCCGATCCCAATGCGGAGCCTCGAGCCCAGACTCCTAGCCTTACGGAGTCGAAGATCGTCGCTGACAAGCTTGAGACCGTCTCTCAAGAGCTCTTGGACCTGCGCCTGCAGCACGAGACCACCGTGAACGAATATGAACTGTTGGAGGCCAAATATGAAGAGGCACTCAGAGCTTTAGCCAAACTGAAACAGGACGCTGCGGACGAAGCGCGCCATCCGGCTTCTGCCGTCCAGGGACTCATTTCCCCAGTCACTGCCTCCCGGCCAGTGTCTTTTTTAGAGGATGCGAAGGCCCCCGACTCGAAGAGTGGAAAACAACACTCGTTCTCGCAATCACTCTCCTCGGAGTTATCCTTGGTCGGGGAGCCTGCTGCTTCGCAAGAACCCTCTAACGGCCATTCTGAGCCCGCCTCAGAAATTCCCGTGGACTCGCAGGCGTCCCACAGTGAGACGAACTCGCTCGAAATGGAGCACATGCGTCAGCTACTCTCCGAGCACCAGGAAGGTGTTCACCTCATGACCCAAAGGTATGCCGAGCTGCAGGCCGAGCATGAAGGTGCCCTTGCTCTGGTAGAGACGCTCAAAAGGGAGCTTCAGAAGTCCAAGTCCACCTCTCCGCCAACAACACCGGGCTTCAAGTCGAACGTCATCCGGAGGAAGAGCAGCCAGAGCCTCATGTCGACGGTTGATCGTGCGCATCGCTCCCTTGCCGCCCTGAAGAACATCGCAGTAGAAAAATTCGAAGGCCAGCCCGATACAATGCAGAACTTCGAGGTTCATCTTGACGCGGCGATGCATGAGCTGCACTCGCGCATGGAACGCATCCAGTCCTTGGAGGCGGAAAACCAGAGCGTAAAGAAAGAAATGGAGATGAAGGCCACGATCATCTCTGGCCTCACCCGCGAGCGGTCCAGCTTGCAAGGGGGTACACCTTCCGCCGACATGGGCCTGGTCTCCCAGTTGCGGGATCAGGTAGTCCAGCAGGAGAACCTGATCAACGAGCTCAAGGAGGCGCACGAGTCACGCGAAAAGAAGCTGCTTGCCGAGATCGCAGAGTTGAGGGATCTTCTGAAGACTCAGGAGGAAGCTGCCAAAGCTCAGGATGCGCACGCGGAAGAGCAAGACAAGAAGATCGACGATCTTCAAGGTGAATTGGTGGAGTGGAAGAGCAAGCATGAGAACGCCGTCAAGTCCTTGCAGGCTTCCGAGCAGCAACTCAGTGCCACCTTGGCTGACCTGGACAAGGCCCTGGCAACCGCAGATTCCATGCGCTCAGAGCGTGCTGCCGTGGACGAGACCTCTGCTGCGAAGGAGGCTGTTGCCAGAGAGCTGGAGGCCGAGAGATCACGGCAGCAGGAGCTGGTTGAGAGTTTGAAGCAGAAGATCGAAGAGCACGAGACTACCGCTGCTGCCCATCTCGAGAAGATTGCTGCTCTCGAGCAGTCGCACAAGACGGCGCAGGAGCAGCTGTCAGATCTTCTCGCGACCAAGGACAGTACCGGCAGTGAGGTTGAAGGGTTCCAGACTCGCGTGTCTGAACTCGAGAAGGAGATTGAGATGCACAAGTCGACTGCCGATTCTCATAAGAGGGACATCGAGTCTTTGCAAGAATCGCACAAGAACGAATTGGCGGAACTCGAGGCGCGCGCTAAGGCTGCGGCTCAGGCTGAGTATGACTCGCGGATTGCGGAGAAGAGCGCCGAACACGAGGAGGCGATGAAGAGTTTGAGATCTGAGATCGAGGCATCACGGAATGAGCTGTTGAAACTGCTGAAGGTGGTTTCAGAGCTGATCAATTCCGATGTCACCGCGGACAACCTCGCAGACCAGATCCAAGATATCCTCACGCAAAAGCAACACTTTTCCGACAAATATGCCGAGCTGATGGATGCAAACGAAGATCTTCGCAAGCAGCTCGAAGCCAAGGACAGTGATGCCAACAAGTTGGAAGAGCTTACCCAGCGCGAGGCGGCCAAGGACGCAAAGGTGAACGAGCTTGCCATCCTCGTCGCCACTCTTGAAGATACCCTTCAGCGTAAGGAAGAGCTGGTCAAGAAAAAGGATGCGCTCATCGAGGAGATCACCGCCGAGAAAGATAAGAGCCTGCGTCTGGTGGAGGAACTCGAGGAGCAGATTACCAACAGCTTCGACCAACACCACAACCGTCTCTCCGTCATCCAGCATGAGCGCGATCAGGCCTTGGAAGACGCTAAGGCCAAGATTGCGACATATGAGAAAGAAATTGAGACATATCGCATGCGGATTGAACAGCTTGAGGTAAGCAATGCTGTCATAAACTTTGAAATTGGACCCCGGCTAATGAACTCTAGCTTCAACTCAAGAATGGTACCGGCCAGGATGGTTCGCATGACCGCACCAGCTCTTTGACCTCGAATCTGCGGAAGAGTACTTCGGCAGCCTCTCTTCCTTCGCCGCCACCTGCCATTCCTCTGCCGCCCCTGCCGACTATACAGTCTGCAACCAACGGTAGTGCCTCTCCTCCAAGCTCTCGCCACACCAGCAAGGAACTGGTCAGCGTTCAGATTGTCGAAGACCAGGAGGCCCGTATCCGCACGATAGAAAAACACCTCAATGCCGAGAAGCAACTCACTGCCACTTTGGAAGAAGCTCTGGGCGATCTTGAAGCCCAGAGCAACAAGGTCAAGACCGACTGTGAGGCCTGGAAGAAGAAGGCATGGCAGCTGGAGGAGGAGTTGACGACTCTCCGCAAGGAGCGCAACTCGCAGCGCCTCTCGCTTCAGGCCGTCGAGGAAGAACGCAATGCCCGCCGCGAAGCCGAGGCTGCTCGAGCCCAGCTTGAAGAGCGGATGAATGCGCTGAACAAGAAGAAGAAGAAGAGCACGCTCAACTGCTTTTAATCCATCGTACGCTTTTGATACTTTTGGATCGTTCAATTTTAGTGTCTCGGACGTGACGTTTCCCCATGTTCAAAGCCCGCTCTGTGTACTATGAATTTGACGTCGATTCCCCTTCTTGATTTGTTGATACCTTTTTGTTCTCATTTTGAGTCTTTTCCCTTCACATAGCCCCTAGCCTCCGCCGCCTTGTTTTACCACGAGTCATTCAATTCGCTTCTTCTGGGCAATTCTAGCCTATGTCGACACTGTACATTTTGTCTACCCTGTGATCACGTCTCCAGCAATCCTATTGCGGTATATTTTGTTATCACTCGTATGCCATAAAAGAACGTACGGCCTGTGGTCACTTTGTCTATAGTCCCGTTGTCCACATTGATACTGTTGGGAGGTGGTTTGTAGTTTGCCTTCTTGTGAGTAACGTTGTAGTAGTATAGCATGAATTGAAAGCAATCAAATTTGTGACATACCCGTAGACATCTTTTAATAGTCAAGTTAGAGTATTGGACCTCCGCCTGGACGTGCCTCGGTTCTTCGGTATACACCATATCAATCTAACCCGCGGTAAGGATGGAGGGATGGGGACCACGTCCTCGAAATTCTACGCATCTCGAATGGATAGATTCTAATACAATTGACGCAAAGAAGCCTTTCTACATTAAACAAGAGACAACTTCATCGCCTTAGAGGTTCCACAAATCGCTCCACTTGGCTAGGCGCGACAACACTATCCCGAACACCATTCGACCAAACCAGCTGGAAGACCATGACAGCTACCTCTACTTCGTTCTCTACGTCTACAGAAGAAACCCTCGCCTTCTTCAACACCATCCCCAAATGCGCCGAGATCCTCTCTCAACCTGACCGAAGGGTCATCCACCCGCGCAACCCCGACACCTTCTTCCACTCGACCCTCCGGACTAACCACGGAATCCTCAAGTCTATTTTCATTTACCAGCCGGCCAGAACATCAACATCTCCCAATTCAAATGACACCGATACTGATACCAGCGCCATCGCCAACCCCCCAAACACAAACCCGCAAGAGCGAGAGCGAGAGCAAGGCTACCTCCTCCTCCACCTCGGCCGCGGGGTATCGGGGCAGCCCGATATCGCGCACGGCGGGTTCCTGGCCACGGTGCTGGACCAGGTTACGGGGACTTTGATCCGGGCGAGTGGGTTGGATCGGGGGCGGGGGGCGGTGACGGTTTATTTGAATGTGAAGTATCAAAGGCCCGTGAGGGTTCCGGGGATTGTTGTTGCGAGGGCGGAGATTGGGAGGGTGGAGGGGAGGAAGATTTATGTGGATGGGGAGATTTGTGTTGCGGACCAGGAAAGTAATGGGGAAGGGGAGGGTGATGGGGTTTGTGTGGCTTGTGAAGGGATGTTTCTGGTTAAGAGGGATGTTACCGTTAGGATCTAGAGGTGTTGTGAATCTTTATAGAGTAATAGAGATGTTTGTTGTTGAGGGCATGTGCGGAGCAAATAGTTAACGTAATCGGTAAGCGAGTGGCCATTGTAAGCCAGCGGCCACCTCATGTATCGCATATAAAATGGCACATTTCAGGACCTCAGTATCTCAGCCAGTAATAGAGGTTTATCTTTAATGCTCAGATATAATTACKATASACTATGTATAATGCCTGTATCTTTTTTCCTGACAATTGTAGTGACCGTTTTAAGTGTTTAATACAGTGCATATGCAAATACAGCTATATCAAAATACTCTCCCYTTTTACCATAGATAGCAACAAATAATATAGAATTATAGGTCCCCTACCTGTAAAAGCATTATGAGACTAGTTTATATTATGAAGTTTAGACTCTCTTAACTTTTCGTTGTTGATATAGTGAGGTCTTAAAAAGTGCCTTTTTATATGCAATACATGAGGTGGCCGCTGGCTTACAATGGCCATTCGCTTACCGATTACGTTAGAGGATGATGATGCGTCATCACATGACGTCGTGCCCCGTGGCTTAAGCTCAAGCTGAAGCTCAACCAACAACGAAGCAATGACTCCCCTTCCGCGCAGACGTACAAGCTCCTCGCATACACACAGGCGATGGCCCGTCTCAAACCCTCCAATGTCATCATCATCCACCCGGACCTGGGAATCGGCGGCGCGGAGCGGCTAATCATCGACGTGGCGCTGGCGCTACAGTCCCGCGGCCACAAAGTCACCATCTACACCTCCCACCGCGACAAGTCGCACTGTTTCGAGGAAGCGCGCGATGGCACGCTCGACGTGCGCGTGCGCGGCAACACACTCTTCCCCGCGCATGTCGGCGGCCGACTGCACGTCCTCATGGCCGTTCTGCGGCAGTTGCACCTGACGGTGTCGGTGCTGAAGGAGATCGGCAGAACTGAAGAAAAAGACGACATCTTCATCGTCGACCAGGTCCCCGCTTGCGTGCCATTTTTGAAAACGCTCGGCCCGCGCGCGGCGCGCAGCCGCAGTCGCAGTCGCACTCGCCAGCGCATCCTCTTCTACTGCCATTTCCCTGATCAGTTGCTTGCGCGCCGGAATGAGGGCGGCGAGCTGTTGCGGCTTGCGAAGACGCTCTATCGATATCCGTTTGATTGGTTTGAGGGATGGGCGATGAGCGCGTCGGATAAGGTCGTTGCCAACTCGAAGTTCACCCGCGGGGTCGTGAGCGAGGTTTTTGGGAAGGAGAAGCTGGGGGATGTTCGGATTTTCTATCCCTGCGTTGATACCAAGGCTGGCGCGCCGGCTGGGACTGGTGAGGGTCCGTTGTGGGGTGGGAAGAAGATATTGTTGAGTGTGAATCGGTTCGAGAGGAAGAAGGATTTGGGGTTGGCGATTCGGGCGTATCATGGTCTTGGGGAGGAGAAACGGAGGGGGACGCTGTTGGTGATTGCTGGTAGGTCTCTCCTCTTCCTGCTAAGGAGAGCAGCTATTGATTGAGGTTACTCTACAGGCGGTTACGACACTCGGGTACAGGAGAATGTCCAATACCATCGAGAACTAGACCAGCTCGCCACGAGTTTGGGACTACGGACCGCGACCTCTAAGACGGTCATCTCTGCCCTGTCCATCCCTGAATCGATCGACGTGCTTTTCTTGCTCTCCGTACCAACCGCCTTCCGGGACACGCTCCTCTCGCAGGCAAAATTGCTTCTCTACACTCCCGTCAACGAACACTTCGGTATTGTCCCCGTCGAAGCCATGCGCGCCGGGATCCCCGTTCTCGCATCGAACACAGGCGGGCCGTTGGAAACTATCGTGGAAGGCGAAACGGGCTGGCTCCGGGACGCAACGGTCGTCGCTGATTGGACTGCGGTCATTGACCAGGTTCTCTACCAGATGGACCAGAAGGACTTGGACCGCATGGCAGTCGCGAGCATAGCCAGAGTAGAGCAGGAGTTCTCGCTGACTGCAATGGGTGACAGGCTGGAGGAGGAGATTGCGGATATGCTCAGCAAGGAAAGACGACCATTCAGCGGATTTCACCAGCTAATCTTCGTCTTTGCCCTCTTGGGCATTGTGTCTTCTATTCTTGGCATGTGGGCCGTAAAGGCGATCTAAATTGTATAAATACCCCTTCTTATTTGTATTTTAGCAATCTTACACTTGTACTCCAAACTCCGTTAATGGTCTCCTCTCCCACGTGACTTCGCGCAATGCTAACGCGGGATAATCGCGAAACGCGTGAGGAACTGGAGAAAGTCGCAGCGAAGTCGGATAGTCATCAACTAATCCACAATATCGGTGCTCTTCAACGAAGAAAATGCCAGAGGTTATCAACCTCCTGTCCTCGACGCCGCCGCCCCCAGCATCTCAACCCCGTCAGCCATTAGTGGCCACGCTTCCATCCGATCCGCCCCTCTCCTCTGCTCCGCGGCATCTGTTATCGGACGATATCGAGTCACTTTTCGCCTACGATGACATCGATAAACCGGCCAAGAGACGTCGCATTAGCGAGGAGGTTGAGTCTCCTAAGGAATTAGATACCCAGTTTCCGACGACAAATCTGTTTCTGTTCTCTGATGATGACGTCGCCTTGCCGTCTGATGGACCCTCAACACTGAAGATTCCCGCGTGGAACGAGGACTCGGATCCTATTGTTTTCACTTCGCCTGCCCCTGTGCCGGGAGCGAGGCCTCTTACGACTCATGAAACGAATCCCACAGAAACTAACACGATCACGATTGACGATGACGATGACGATGACGGTGATGCGCATGTCGATATTTCCAACGATGCCGCCCCCGGGAAGGACCACATCGAGGACTTCAGTGACCAGCTGGGAATGCCGGATATTGAAGAGTTAGTGAGGCAGGCTAGAACAGTTAAGCCATCTGGGCATGAAAATACGCTCTTTTCGAGCCGGACGGCCAGTCTCCTTGCTGGTCTGAAGGAGCGCTCAGAAGCTACCAGTAGCGCTGGGAGTAGGACAAAATCAAGAACTGCAGCTCCCAGCAAAAAGGCCCAAGAACGCGATGTCCTTGACCTGGACGATGATCTCTCCGAGGTAGTGGCTGAATCTCGCAAGCCAGCACGAAAGACAACCAAGCTGACCGCCGCGGAGAAAGAAGCGCGGGCTAAAGAGCGAGAAGCCGCAAAGGCGCAGCGGGAACATGAGAAACAGCTCGAGAAGGAAAGACAGAAGAAGCTCAGGGAGGAAAAGGCGCGGGAAAAGCAGCTCGCTGCGGACTTGGCGGAGGTCAATAAGCTCAAGGTGGACAAGAAGGAGTCCACGCCTGAGATGATCCTCGATCTCGCTTCCTCGTTTAGGGAAACAAGTGTCGGCAATCAGAGCATTGAACTAATGAAACGCCTGGGAGTTGAGCACACGTTCTTCACGAGCTCTATCCCGAACATCGTCAAATGGCGCCGAAAGGTCACAGCCCGGTACAACGAAACTGCCGGCCATTGGGAACCATGTCCACACCATATCCGCGACGAAGACCACGTCCTCTGTCTTGTGACAGCACAGGACTTCGTCAACATGGTGATCGCGCCTGCAGACCCGGTAACAGGCACAACCGAGCTAGAACTGCACCTCGACCGCATCAAAAAGGTCTACCCACGCCACAAACCAATTTACCTCATCGAAGGCCTAACCGCGTGGATGCGCAAGAACCAAAACTCCCGCAACAGAGCCTTCCAAGCCCAGGTCCGCCGGCAACTCGACCAGAACCCAGACGATCCTTCCTCGTCGACGCGCCGAAGAAAACCACCCGCCAAAACCGCCGAATCCACCCCGCCCGTCGACGACGATACCATCGAAGACGCCCTCCTCGAGCTGCAGGTCACACACGCCTGCTTAATCCACCACACCAGCGCCGCGGGGGAGTCGGCAGAATGGATCAAGAACTTCACCGAGCATATCTCGACCATCCCGTACAAGCGCGAGCGCATGGACGGCAACGACTCGGCCTTTTGCATGGATACGGGACAGGTCAAACCCGGCGAGGACAAGGCCGATACCTTTGTCAAAATGCTCCAGGAGGTGAATCGCGTCACTGCGTCCATGGCTTATGGCATCGCCGCGAGGTATCCCACTGTCGTGGACTTGGTGAGAGGGATGCGCCGGCATGGGCCGACCATGCTGGAAGATGTCAAGGTATGCGCTCACCCCTTATCCATCCTTTCTCAATTTTTTCTAACCTGATCTGAAGAAATCGGCAAACAAGAACGGTGCCCTGACGGACTCGCGCATCGGCCCGGCTGCGAGTAAACGGCTGTACAAGGTGTTCATGGGTCTTGATCCCTCCTCTACGGATATCTGAATTTGGCTTGCCTGTATCTATTTATTGGACTTTGGTCTTATTCCCCTGTCGCACATGAATACCCTTCTATTCTTTCTGGTCGTCATTTGTTGTCTTGTGAGAATGTTGGCATTTGTTATCCTTGGTATGGAGTAGGTTTCATTGGTTTGCTGGAATGTGCAATACAGGCATGATCAGGATTCATAGATGCAGACATATTTTACATGTGTCTCTCACTCATCTTGCTACCGAAAATAATAAATTTAGCCAAAAAGGGAACCAGCCACCTCATGGAGATGCTATATTCTATACCGAAACAAATCCAGAAACATCTCAAACGCCAAAATATGGATGAATGGATCAAACAACAACACCCCGTCGCCGCCAACCCCTCCAGGCAAGCATCCACGCAACTACAGCCACCCACACACTGAGGGTGCAGCCGACAGCCCAGAACCCATAGCAGCGCCAGCCATAGCACTGTCCGTCCGCTGAGCCGTTCCCGCCGTCCGTCGCGTCCTGGTATCCCCGGGAATAGATGATTCCCCACATCGCGGCACCGGCCGCAGGGACCATGGCCACGATGCCCCAGTTCGTGCCGAAGTTCTCGACCCCCCACACGACAGAGATGATGATGGGGACGAGAGAGAAGGCGCTGCCGTAGCCTAGGCCTATCAGCGCGGTTGTTATGTGTGTGAGACCTGGGTGCTGGAGGGGTAAGGGGGACGAGAGGAGGAGATAGCCGAGGGAGAGGAGGACGGCTGAGGGTAGAAGGAAGGCGAGTCGCGAGAGGGTGGGTCTGTTTGTGGTTGAACCTGATAACGACGAGGGACGGCCGGCTTCCATGTTTGCTGGGAAAAGATGAGTGGCCGGGGGCGCGAAGAAGTCGGAGAGAGATCCGGTGAGCAGTCGGGCTATGGTTGACGTGAGTGCTATCGTGGTCACATGTGTAGAGGGCAGGCCTGCTGGAGGCGGAGCGTTGGGGGGGTATAATTCCGGCGTGAGAGTCTGAATGATTGTGCCCAACTAGGAGGCCAATTAGTTTATTGTCTACTGGAGTAGGATGAGGTAGACTTACGTTGTTGATGTATGCTTCTCCTGGACCGGTGACCAGGAAGAAGCCAAGTGCAAGCCACCACATGGTCTGATCTTGCAGGAATAGTCGCGTTTCGAAGTTCAGCAGCCAGTTCTTCTTCCTCCGTTCCTCCTCCTCCCTTTCCTTCTCCAGTCTCGCCGCTTCACGTTCTTCTTCGGAGAGGGTCAATGATAGCTCCGGCTCTGGCGCATCACCGTCAGCAGCCTCGGAAAATGTTCCATAAGCCGCCTGCACTTCGCTTCGAGGCCGGAAGAACTCGCTTTCCTCGAGGAGACCACTACGCTCGAGCTCCTCGACAGCCTCATCAATGTACTTGTCCTCTTCCTCGTCAACAATCCTCAACCCGAAAGTGCCAATGATTCCCAGGCAGAAGAGAAACAAGGCAAGGAACAGAAAGTAGCGGAAGACATCCACGTCACCACGGCTTCCATCCTCGCGGCGTTCACATAGCAGGTATGTTGCTAGCTGGCTCTGCCACATGCCACTCAGACCGAAGCCCGCAATAGGAACGGCAAGCATGATACCCTTGTGCTTGCCGCGACCAAAGTTCTTCGCGCATGTCGTCACCGCAGCCAGATACATGCAGCTTGTAGCCATCCCGATAGCAACGAATGCCACAACCATCACCCAGAACGGCCATCCTTCTCCGCCGGCGTCAGGGAGCGGGCCACTCCTATATGCAAAGGCAGCCAGCAGGTAACCTCCACCAAAGACAAGTCCGGATAGCAACGCCAGCGGAGAGGGCGAGTACCGATCACAAAGGTAACCAAACAATGGCACGGGAAGATACATCGAGATCTCTGCCGCGATCGAAACGGCGTTCACCTGAAGCTGAGTGTAATGGAGCCGAGTGAGGAAAAGATGCCCGTACAGCGAAAAAGCAGTGATGCTACCGGCTCCAAGACTAAATGACCACGCTTACTGTCAGTACATTTACAACGACGGATAAACGACAGCATCTACAGATTGCGAGAAAAGGGACGGCCAACCAGCTGATCACGCCCACCACAAAGCTGCATACACGCATCACTTCCATTGCCATCTTACGGCGATCTCTCTCAACGATCTCGTCAACCACATTGTTCAAGAGCCCGTCGGTGCCACCGTCGAGATTTCGGATGGCGGACAGTCTCGAACTGGAACGCGGCCGTCTTTCTCCAGTCCCATCAACGCCGGCGTCAATGTCGTGGAGTAAGGGTCGATTATCATCAAAGTCCCGCTTATCGATTGCTGGCTCGTACTGTTGATCAGAGCCGGCCATTGTGCTTGTGTATCAACTGCAGCTCTATGGAGCGCCAGTATGTAGCAAATAACAAAGCCCAATCGGCTCAGAAGTGGTTGTCCTGTAATATATATACTCGATAAGGTATACCTCTGTCGTCAGCAGTGGACAGTTCCCAGGCCAGCTGGGATAAGCAATTGACGAACTGATAACGGAAGTCGCCTTTCCCTTGCCGGCCAGTCAGGTCAAGTAGGAGTTTATTATTGTGATACTGGATGAATAGTTAAAGTGCAAGGAGAGCGCCGGTAATTAGCGAGCGCCCTATTTAAACACTGTTGATCAATGCCATGGATGAAGGAGCCGTGAGATGTCTTGTTGAGAGGGTCTCAAGAGCACGTCATCAGAGGAGATACACTGCTTATCACAGGAACACGCGACATTCGCCAATTCACGGAGCACATGATCGTGCGTCAGCCATCAAGTGATTATGCTGAGTCATCTACGGCCAACTCACTCTTGGTTCGTAGATCCGGGCCAGAGATAGTTCTTTATTGTGGGACTGGGGAAAAGGATGGGTGTTAGGAACATGGATACTTGGTATTACACTATAAAGTCCTCTAAATATAAGTTTGCGAAAGCTAAGTGGTTATACTGGTACAAATAATAATACTAGTAAATTTCTGTAAGTATTGTACTTGTGCAAGGCTATCTCAGCGGATACATAAATAGGGCTGAGGAGCGCAACACCTCCATCTCCGTTCTCATACTACGTCTTTCCTTCTGTGCCAGTTGATATCACTCATTTAGTTCGCTAGTCTACCCTACTCGGAGCCTAGTTTAGTCCAGACTACAAATTTAGACACACACAGGGCAGAAATATGTCTGTTGAAGCAGATGAGAAGACTCCTCTGTCTGCTACTAGTCTCCCAAACCCAAGCCAAACTTCCCCCCTTACTTTCAACGAGACATTAATTCCTGATGAGCCTCACACCGTCGACCCTTCAGGCCTGACTACACCCGAGAAGAGACTTTACGACTTCTTGCGCTCCCAAGGATGGACTGATACGCAGTGTTCTTGTTACTTCACTCATATTGAAATGAAAGAAGCTCTCTCTCACCATTTCTACTCGCAAGGCTGGAGCAACGATCAAGTGCAATGCCTTCACGAGCGTTGCCAGATTGAATTGCCGGAGAATTTCCCAGCTCCTAGAGGTGATGACCATCAAGAAGATCTACAGATGCAGCTAAGGCTAGTGGAAGAAATGAATCGTAGAATGGCGATTGGCGAGCGCATGTTCCCATCAACAGGGACTATGGGAAGGGGGATTGATGAGGAGAGAAGGACTTGAGTGGGACTCCCTCAAAGCATTATGATATGTATGTCCATCTATCTTTGCTTGGACACCGTATATGTGGTTCTTTTGCCATTTTGTCAAGAGGGAAATGCTGAGTACTCGAAGCGCGATATGTTAATGCGTCAAGACCTAAGGCTTCACAAAGCTGGATGCTCAGCATCACTTTCCACTTCAAATCAGTTCTCAATGCCCTCTTCTTCTGATCCAGACTAGTGACCTGTCAATCCTCCCATACCTCTAGGAATCAGTATCTCCAGCTTCTGGTCGGTCATTTATTTTCCCACCTTTTCCTAATTAGGAAGTTATATTACTTCTTATTCTTGTGATTTCGGCACACAGATAGAGAATGAGTATGCAGAGCAAGTGAGGCTGCTTCAGTACTAGTCAATGGAGATGAATGCTTGGGAATCAACCACTTTCTTTGACTCTTGCCCTACACAACCTTTCATCTACCTTCTCGTAGGCGCATTGAAGAATTACGGATTTACACGATTTGAGCTATCTAAACTGGTATTCGCCGATGTACATGAACAATTCGAATGCGTCCCATGCTTGCAATCTGTAAAGGAAAAAAAAAAAAAAAAAAGAAAAAACAGTAACCCGGGGAATCGGACAGGTTCCCGAGGGGTATAATCACTAAGACATGTCCGAGAAGAGAACAACAATTGGAAAGAAATGAAGCCGAAAGGGAAAATTATGGTCTCATACACACCATCAGAATGGAAGTTGCTCCCGAGCAGATGACCCTCCTCTATGATGCTCCAGGCACGGATAGACAAGACCCCAGAGGCGAGCATGGTATCATTATCAATCGTAAGTATCGTAGCATCCGTCACTTCAATGATCTTCTAGAACCTCCCTGTATCCCCTCTCAGATTGCGACGGTGTCATAGCATGCGGATAATGTCATTAGACAGAGTCCAGTATGCGAGGAGGAAAGAAGAGAAAGGTAGCAGAAACAGAAACATCGTTATTCCAGCACCCTGTCATGCAAAAAAGAAAGGACGCCATATCCATGATACTCCGGTGCATTGAGTTGAAAACCCGATCAAATGCAGAGCCGCTAACTCCAAGCACGGAGAAGTCATTAGGAATGAGAAAATGAGAAAGATGAACAGAATATTAAAAATTGCCCCGCTCAAAACGGACATGTTCGAGGCAGAGACTAGTGGGGTGGTGGTTGGCACTCAGAAGCTGACTTCACCGGGATCCTCCTCCAACACGCTCTCGTCCCAGAACCGGTCCGTTGATTCCTCGCGACCGGAATCACGAGATCGGAGAGCCATAGCTTCACCTTCACCCCGCTCAACGAATTCATCTTGAGTCACTTCCTTGAGAATGCGTTGGA